TTCGTACCATTCGGCGTCATAGGATCGTCGCTTTTGCCAGACGAGTTTGTATGCCGGATCGGTAGGCTAGGTGCCGAAGGCTTCCATAACCAGGCTCAACTTTGTCTACGTGTCTTGTTCCTATAGGCTGTTCATTTTGGTATAAACAATGCTATTTGCATTGCGGTAGGTTTGAACCAGTTTGTGTGCCTTTGAACGAATTCCAAGAAATATTATGACAAAAAAAAAAACCGAATTCACAGCAAGCTAGGTAGATAAAAAGCTTTTTATTAGGGTTTAGTTGGATGTTATGAGGGCCTTTCTGAAAGATATTTTAGCACATAGCTTTTTATTGAAGGCATGACATAGACAGAAGAACGAATTCATAGAAAAAGTCATTGATTAAAAAATCAATTGTAACCACAATTTGTTGACTATTCTTTCGTCCGATGTGCATATCATATGTTTATGACTTTAATTATTAATTAATTATAAAATTTATATTTATAATTATAATTATGATTAATTGAGCAGTGAGCAGCGCGTATGTTTCTCTTTATTTAATTGATTTAATACGTTCTCATGTTAAAGATTGGCATCGATCATTTGCATGCATGTGTGCAGTGGCGGACCTGTGCAGGCGCAAGGAGGCGGACCTGTGCAGGCGCAAGGAGGTGCACCTGCACCTCCGGTCGCCGGAAATCACCATTAGAGGTGCTGGAGTTGCACCTCTACTGCAGACATGCGATGCACAGAAGGTGTTCGACAAAATGCGCAAGTCACTGGGCTTGCCGTGCGCCTGTTTTTTTTTAAAAGATGCCTGGCCAAAACGACGTCGTTTTGGATAAGGATTTTTAAATTTTAAAAAAAAGGGAAACTGATGCTGTAAACGGACCAAGCTTTTTGTGGGCTTTTCAAATGGGTTTTATTTCCTTACTTAATTGGGTTTTATTTCCTTACTCAATTGGGTTCTTTTTATTCAATTGGGTTTTGGGAATTCCTTAATTAAGTATAATTGAAAATTCTCTTTATAAAAGACCAATTTAACATCACCCAATTTCATCAAAGTGTGTGTGCATCACAAGAATCATGTGTTCTTTTTTCCATCTTGAGTACGCCAATCCAAAGTAAGCCGAATGCATTTTTTTTTTCTTGACCAAACTCCAATTTTGTTTATTCTTCTTTTAATATATATATATATTTTGGTTATTTAGCTCTCTCTGCTCTCTCTGCATTTTTTTGGGTATTTTTAGTTTATTCTTCTTTTAATATAATAATAGATATAAAATCCTTCTTTTGTTTTAATTGTACAGTTATGGAACGGTACTTTCAGAGAAAAAGTTTAAATCCTCCTTCAAATAATCCGGGTAGTTCAAATCCTCCTTCAAATAATCGGTTTATGAATATTGTGAAAACAGGAAGGAGTAGAATATACAACTATGTGTATTTACTTCTTACATTAGCTTTAGTTTTACCCGTTGCAACTGATTCGGTTGAGAGAGCTTTTTCAGCTATGAATATTATGAAAACACCATTGCGTAACAAAATAGGGAACCAATGGTTGAGTGATAGCTTGGTTGTTTACATTGAGAAAAATATTTTTTCTTGTATTAATAATGCAAATATAATGCGACGTTTTCATGATATGAAACCTCGTTGGCAACAATTGTATGTTAATTGTAATGTTATTTTTTTAATTAATTATGAATAACATTAGTATTATTTAAATGATAAGGATGTTTAGCTTTTTTTTTTTTTTTTTTGGCAGCTCTTAATTTTTAAAAATTGCACCTCCGCTGAAAAATTCCTGGGTCCGCCGTTGCATGTGTGTGTAGTGTGTATGTTGTATTAATTCTTAATCTCCTATTATTAAGAGTAATTGAGTGATCTTATACTATTTTCTCTCTTGTTGTCGTGGTGCCTAGCCAAGAGGGTCAACTATCTTGCTGACCCGTTGACCGCCGCCTCACTTCATCGTCTGCATCACAACCTTGTAGTTAATTAGCATGTGATAATTAATCAATCACTATATATATTGGGACCGCATAATTAATTAATATTATATTTATTCAATTTGTATACACACAACGTGGCCCTCTCCATGACTTCAAATTTTGCATGGGATATATACCATAAATGTTCTGCCTATACTCCGAGAATATTTGACATACCAATTTATAATTTTAAAGTTGAGTGGTGATTTTCTCACTCCAATTTTACTCACTTACACTCTATTTTATAACTAAAAAAGGAGTGTAAATGAATAAAAAAAGTGTGGGGAAATCATTACCCTTAAAGTTTTGTGGCCGATTGTTAATAAATGTGTACACACGTTTTTATTTTTTCATGAAAAACGTTGCTCTTATAATGCGTCGGACAAAACTATCTCACACACATTAATGGTTATCAATAGTTCATTAATCGTATACAGTGGCGGATTTATTAAGGCACAAGGAGGTGTAGTTGCACCTCCTCTCAAAGAGGCTTTCCTGCTTTGGTAGTGAAAAATCGCATCTATTATGACAAGACTCCTTCAAATGTGTGTCTAGTTAGAATTGCATACTTCTTTTTCTGGCACAGAGACGCTACGCAAGGAAGAAGATGCGCGAGGAAGAAGATGCACCAGGAAGAAGATGTGTGCTGTTTATTTTGGGTTTCTCATTAAATCGATGTTGTCTTAGTATATGAGTTTCATTTAAAATGAAATGATGCGTTTGCTCAAACCTTCTTAGGATATAAAAAAGGCATGTTTGGTGGAATAGTCACCGAATTAAAAAAAATAAAGAATGGAACGATGTATGCTTTTTATCCCTTCCTTTCAAGTCATGTCATCATGAGCAATAGTACTCTCTCATCATTATATTAGGGGAATGCTAGCAACATTCTCTCTAACTTTCTCTTTTGGACCTTCTCCATTTTACTCTTGACAAGTGTCATTGCTCTCTCACTTAAATCAATATTTTAATTACACAAAAGAACATTAATTGTATTTCCGTATTTGCCCTTTTTATTGTTTAAAATAATAAACAATAAAAAAAGGGGTTCTTCAATCCCTCGATCCCTCAGACCAATAAAAAAAAAAAATTCACTCGATCCCCACCCCGACTAGCCTTCGCCCTCGCCCCACCTCTTCCTCCTCCTCCTCCGGTAAAACCCAACAGTCAACACGGCGATCACACCCACAACTCATCTATAGGTGCCCAAATAATAGGTGCCCAAATAATAGGAATTAAATATAAATGCTAAAAAGTAGGGATTTTTAATGGAATGCTATAACGTTATTTTATTTCCAAAAACATGACTAATTTTTTGGAGTCAAACTTGCCTTGTTTTTGGGAGTCAAACTTGTCTGTTTGCAGTGGCGGAGCTAGGATTCTTAGCATGGAGGGGACAAAATTTCAAAATCACTTCCACATAGATTTTTTATCTTCAATTGGGAGGGCCATCACTAATCTAATTACAGTAATTGTATTGCTATAACATATATATTTTATAATATATTACAATAGATTAAAAATTAAATGGGGGGGCCAGGGCTATGGCAGGCCTGGCTATGGCTCCGCCCCTGTCTGTTTGTATAGTCCTATTGTAATTGGGTCTTGTTTGTATAGTCCTATTGTAATTGGGTTTTCTCTTTTGTTGTAATTATGTCTAGGGTTTAGCACTATGTACTTCTTTATAAATACCCCATCTTTGGACTAGAAAATTCTCATATATTTGTTGCCATTCTATTGTTTCCTCATCCCCACTTTGGCGTCTTCCAATTTCATAGGATTTGATTCTCTCTAAAACTTTCCATTACCCAATCAATTCCTTACTTTTGTTTGTCTGTTAAGAGGAGTGAGCCTTAGATATATATATATTATTTACATTATGCTCCGTAGAGGGGCAATCTATCCTACTATTTTGTTCCGAGTATGTTTTCCAGGTCTAGTCGTTTTTGCATGTTTCAGTTTCGTTCTCTTCTACAATCTGCAAGAACCCGAGTTCAGCGTCACAAATGTCTTTCTTACTCAATTTACCTTCGACACACCCACCGACCAGAGTCTCCACGACAACCTTACTCTTGACATCACAATAACAAACCCTAATAAAAGGGTAGGCATAGAGTACCGTGACATCCAAGCCACTGCAATGTGTGGACATGAGACGTTTGCTCTCTTGAGTTTGGGTGGTGGGATATTAGCACCCTTTTATCAAGGCCACGAAAACACCACCGTTTTGCATAATCTGTTGGGTCAAGGTAAGCAGTTGGTGCGGTTTGAAGAAGCTCAGCTTTGCAAGTGTAAATCCGAGACCGTTGCTGGTGTCTATAGTATTGACTTGCAGCTTGCTCTTCGGGTGAAGGCTAGATACCTCATGTCATACAAGGGCAGAAGTAATAAGATTGGCATCCTCTGCAAGTTGTTGGTTCCTTTGACTACTTTTGGAACATCTGTTGATGGCAATGGCGGCGAGTGTTTCAACACTACAAAGTGCTTCAATACTAAAAAATTCTTTCCTGAAACTATTTAACCTTTTGTGGCAATCCTCCTTATTTCATTCGGAACGTTCTCTTTTCAGTCTTGTCATGGTGTTTAAGTTTTTATTTTATAGAGAAGATGTTTAAGTTATCATATCAACTATCCTTTTCTTTCACGAAAAAAAGGAAAGAAAAACAATATGTGGTAATATTATACATTAAATTTAAATTTGTATAAACTATTTCTCAATGATCGATAAATCTAGTATTGAAGGCCTACCCAATTATTTTAGCAAATATGTCATGTGTGCGTTTATTATGAGCGGTGATTTTCCCACTCCCCATCCAATCTAATCCAATCTAGCGAGAACATACAATTTTATAAAAAAGGAAGTTGAAAAATCAGTGCACTTTATTCTTTGTGCCCAAGTACTAATTAATACCAAACACTTTAATTATCACCATGTTCTCAAATTTTAGGACACAATTAAGTAAGAGAAAATCCATTATTCGTGCCCAGTCAAACCCAAATCCTTTTTTATCTCTCTGCCTCCTCTGGCTCTGTTTCAGAAACCTGGACAATCCATCCTGACGCTGCGTGTGTGATGAACTGCTTGTCGCACGTTTCGTCATACGCAACCGCCATTTTCAGAACGAAGGGTCGGTTCGTGGCGATGAGTTTTCTGTACAGACCTTGTTCGTGGAAAAGAAAATTGGACCTTTCGTGTGGGGTGAAGTGCATCAACTTAGAATCAACTTGATTCCATGTTCAGCTCTGCTGATCTCGAAGCAAAGCCGGCAGCAGCATCAGCAGCAAGACGACATAGTCTCGTTCACCGAGGAAGTCAGAAGCTGAACCGGTTGTGGAGCTGGCAAAAGATGCCTTCTATGTAGTGCGCAAAGGAGATATTGTTGGTGTTTATAAGAGTTTCGGCGATTGTCAGGCTCAGCTTAGTTCTTCGGTAATTTTACATTTTTCTTTTTCTGGGTTAAATGGGTTTAATGTGCTTGAACTTCACTTCACTTCGCCCTTTCTTTTTTGTTTGGAATTGTAGTAGATATTTGATCCTCCGATTAGTGTGTACAAAGGGTACTCTTTGCCTAAGGACACTGAAGAGTATCTTGGTTCATGTGGACTTACGAATGCCATTTACACAATCGCGGCTGCAGATTTGAAGGACGATATTTTTGGCAAGCTTATGCATTCCCCTTTTCAAGTAAGAGTTCACTTGCTACCTTCAATTTCGTTTTCCGATTTCGATTTCAAAAAGGAAAATTTTTTACGTGTGCCCATTTGGAATTAAACTCCTAATTAGACTTCCAATGGACCAGTGAGATTTATCATTTATGGCATAGCAGTTGATTGTGCTTGTATCTTGTATTATAGATTATTTTTGGTAGTTGTCAGCTCCTTTGCATGTTCTGGAGTAAGAGAGACAATGTACTATGCGCAACAGAGACACTTTTTAACTTTGAGGTTGAAGAATGTAATAGTTAGTCTGAGCTCAAGCTTTTTTGGACAGGTGTTTTTGAATTAATTTGAGTTGCTTCTCCGTGCATCTCGTACTAATTATCTATAGATTGGGAGTATAATTTATTTCTTTTTTCACTTCAGGATCCAGCATCTTTGCAAGGTGGAGCATCTGTCACGGATGCGCTTGAAAGGAGATCCCATGAAGTGCCTGCATCAGATAATTTGGTGAGTTCATAATCAGGGCTATCTCTGAACTGGAATACCGTCATTAGAGAAAATGAAGAACAATTGTCTTGGAAATGCTATCACTTTATTATTTCTGACTATCTACCAGTAAAATTTGTTGTATTCTTCAGCGTTTCTATTTTGCCTGTTACTAGTACTTTGCATTGAGGTTGGTTTTGGGTTTCTATGTATTCTCATGACACTCACCTTAAGTTCACACCTTTATTCATGGGCTTGCCCTTGTTTGAAAAATTAATTCATTGCTCAGTTACCAGCCTTAGTAAAGTAACAAAACTAAAAATGGGTACTAATAATAATGTGGGCCTTGGTATCTGTAACTCTTCTAGATAGGGAGCACATAAGGGTTGGTTTTCTTCATATGGTGTGACAAGGAATAATATCGAATGACATTGCAAAATCTGAGTAAAGGCTATTGCTAGACATTCCACATTCTTTTGGTATTTGATTCTGGATTGTGCATGGGGATTTTGATATTTTGCATTTGTAAATAAAATCAATTATGAAAACTTTGAGGGAAAATGCAAATTTTATATGAGAGAGACAGACACAAGATTAGAAAAGCCCATCTTTCCAAATCAAAGAACACAATTTATACACTTTTAATTTAGATCTGATTTTCTTTAACTGCTTAATCATGGCTCTTTGCATGGGCTTTATAATAAACATGTTGGATTTTTGTTGTACAGCTATGAATAAAACAGGAATGAACTATTTCACTTCCCAGATATTTGGATTTGGGGTTAGGTAGACATCCCTGATCCTTGTATAAGTAATAGGCAATCTAGTCTTACTGCAACCTTTCCATAGCCCATCTTTCCAAATCAAAGGAAGTTGGTTTTAGTTTCCCTTTATTAGACTTTCTTTGGCCATAATAATTCAAAACGCAGAGGAACGCTTTTGAACCTTACATCCACACCATTTCTGAAGGTTGATACCATTAGGTTCGTCAGGATGGATGTCTTTAAGATTCTAGGGATTCTTTTTTCTTTTTCTGATAAAAATCGTAGCAAGAAACTTATTTTAAAACTTGACTTATTATTCTGTGCATAGTTCTAGTTCTAAACTTTGTTGTTTGAGAAAAACTTTCGGCTCTTGGCTTCGAGTGAACAAGACTTTAGTCATGATAAACTAATCGAATTTGGGCCGATTTTTATGCATATGAATGTATGAATGCAAATCATATCAGTTGCAAGTGCTTTTGCTTTTAGTCTGCATCTCATATTTTTCGCTTGTAATCTTTTGAAAATGTGGTCTAAATTTCTCAGTTTATATGTTTGTGCAGCTGCACTGAAAGTATTGTCATACTTGCCTTTCCCTTACTCTGCTTTAAGCGCATTCATGGTAATCCCAACTCCTCAGAGAGAGGTTGTCAATGATTATGTTGCCAAACGGCGCTATGACATCTTCGGCAAGTCTGAAGATTGCTTAGTCTTGCAAGAGAAAGAGTTGCTGGAGCGTTTCATTGATAGGGAAGAGATAATGTATCGAGCTCGATCAGATTTTTAATTAGCTCCCATAAATCTAGCTATCACCTACGTTTTGGTTATGGTTGATATAAAGAAATGAAATAAAATATATCATTCTGTATACAATGTGCCCATTTTGATTACCACAATGTGATACAACAGTTCAATCCTAGATTGCAGCTTTGAGCTGTGGCATTTCTGCATTCTGTTATTTTTATCCATTCTGAAATAAGCCAGCATTAAAATCTTGGTTTGAGCAGAGTCAATACAAAAGCCTCGAAGGTTTTCACAGAAAAAAAGCATTTGTAAGTTTACTAACAAAACGTTTCTGTTGGTGTCATAGGGCTTGACTGAGAATGAAGAGCCATTTCCAATAATTGGCGTATGCCCTGATATGCGGCGTGCACACGGTAATCTTTAGAAAAAAGCGAAAGAATATATGAGCTCGCTGCAGGGCTCCGTTGTTTGCAAGGGAAGGCTCAATACGCATGTATACTTGCTCTACGATGCTAGCTTTGTCTTTCCCATGCGACGTGGGATTTAAGGTTTCCATCATTCTCAGCTGGACTAAAGAAGCATAGTTCTCAAACTTTTTCGCCTTGAAAGGAATAAAAAAAACATTTTATGCCCAACAACTGTCTTCGTTGGTCCATTCAGGTCATAGAAACTATTGAAAGGTGAGTTGAGCACTCCTCCCAAATGAACCAAACCAGGTTCATATTTCTCCTTTGAAACTTCTCAACAACTGTCTCCATTAGTCCATTCATTCAAGTTCTTGCTGATTAAAATCCGTTATAAAAATACCTGTAGGAAACCTTTTTATCGTTTCCAGCCTCACTATATCCTATTCTTTAGTAAAAGGCGGAAGAATAATTTGCTCCGTGCTCACTGCACGACTCGGTGGTTTGGAAGTGAAGCTCAAGATGCTTAATATAGTAGCTTCTCATTTGTTGGTTTGTCGTTCTTTTTTATGTGGGTTTTTTTAGATCATTCATATCTTCACTTCTCATGCCTACTCGGACTTTAAAAGTATTTTGATTTGGAACCTTTCCTTTTGTAAATAATGTTAATGGCCATTACCTTTCTCTTAGATAATCAATCATTGAAACTTGTGGTATGTCTGCACTATATCATTCTTATCATCATTCTTATCCAGCCTCACTATATCCTATTTTTCTCTCGTTAAGACAGAGAATTAAGATAGTATAAAATATCATTGGTTGAGAGATATGGACAGAGAATGCCGTAAAATGTTCTAAACCGTTCAAACTGTTGTAAATGCATGAGTTGGTGGATGACCACCATACCTCTTAGCATTCACCCTTTCTAATTCTATGTAATTTATACACTAAATACCATAGTTATGGGCTTGTAACTTATGAGTTGTTAATGTCTTCTTACCATTATAAGCCTATAAATAAGAGGTCTTATCAAGATGAGAAATAAAAGTTGATTGAACAATAATTTCTATTGTCTTCCTCTACTTTCCAATTCTCTCTACAATTTCCCCTTAGTTATATAACACGTTATCAGCACGAGTCTCTAACCACTTGAGATAGCACAGTTTCGTCTCAAGTACGAAAGCTCTTCTTACATAGGCTTATCAAATGGAAAGAAGTGCATCAACAAAAGGAAGCTGAACAACAAGATTCCAAACAGATAAGAATTATTATTTTTATATATTTTCATTTACATATCTAGTGCATAGAGGTGTCAAACGGGACGGGCCGGCCCAGCACGGCACGAGCCCAGCCCGTTTAAATGAGGCACGGCACGGCACGAGCACGAATATTAATGGGCCGTGCTCGGCACGGCACGAAAACTTGGGCCGGGCCGAGATCAAGAAATAGGTCCAATGGACCAGGCCGGCCCATGGCCCGACATGGGCCGGGCTTGGCCTGAGCCCGCTTCAAGCACGGCACGAGCCCAAGCACGGCCCATTTAGCATTTTTTTTTCTTCTCAAAAAGTCAAAATGCAATAATTTGACATCTAATGTCATTGTTTATATGGTTTTTTAATCAATACATATGACATATACGCTTCTCCTATAATCAAAGCAAAACATTTCTTCACATATAAAATAATAAGTTGTTTAAAGATAAAAAGTTCAAGTGGACTTTGTGGAGTTGGACATTTTTTGCCCTCCGCCCCTTCATATTGTTTGGATGTTTGATTGATTAATGTTTTCAAATAGTTCATAATTTCTTGCCTCTAATTATATTTTTAATGTTTATAATTTGAATTATCTAGTGGAAAAAAAAAATCAAGTGAAAAAAATTCAAATTAAATGGGTTGGTTCTTGGGCCCGAGTATAGCACGAGCATGAGCACGAGCACGGGCACGGCACGAGCCCGGCCCGGCCCGTTTGAATATGGACATGGGCTTTGGCCCGGGCCAGGATCAATGATTTTATTAAATGGGCCGGCACGGCACGGCCCGATAAATTAAATGGGCCGGCCCGGCACGGCACGAAAATGTTAAAAGCACAAGTTTACAAAGAAATTAGCACTTTTATTATAGATATCTATCTTGTTTATCTATTTACAAGATTTCAACTGTATTTTGTTATTTGTCAGAAATTCAATATTTTCATTAAGAGTAAAGATCAATATCAACGTGATATTTCATGTCACCAATCTTTATGAGGTAAAGTGAGATACTCAAGAATTTCAATTCTTATAGAACTAATGGAGGACAAGAAGTTCCTCAATTCTTATTCAATCATGTAAGGGTCATAAGATCCTTAAATTTCAATCCTTATAATATAAATATTTGTGGACTTGAAGTTCCCCAATTCTTAAAAGGCAAATGAAGACCTGAGGCTCTTTGATTTATTTTTCATTAGAACCAAAAATTTCAACAATTTATTTTATTGCAATATTTTAATGTTTGATGTATTTTATTTTATCTCAGTTCTTTTCTTTAGTGTTATTTTTATTTTATGCAGGGACCTGAAGTCCCTAAATTATATAATTAAATAAAGACCCGAAGTCTCTTAGTTCTCAATCCATATAATATCTATATAAGGACTTGGAGTTCTGCAATTCTCAGAAAGTAAATCAAGACTTGGAGTTCTTTGATGTTTCTCTAACTTGGAACCAGAAGTTCAAACAATTTATTTTACTTTTATTGTTATATTCAATTATTTGTTTTCATTTCAATAATTTATATTTAAAGACGTGAAGTTCCTCATATGACCCGAAGTTCAAATATCTTAGAAACTGAAGTTCTTATTATATCTAATCCAAACTATAAGTTTCGGCCACATGTGCATTAAAATAGGTGAATTCTAGAACTTGAAGTTCTAATTGTGTCAACCTCCAAATTGATATTTTAATAAGTGCATATGTATTATGATTTTGGGCTAAAAAATATACATCATGTTAAGAACCTGAAGTTCCGACATTATTTGGATTTCATGTCTTCTATTTTTTTTTATAAATTTATTGTTGTTTTATTTTATTACCTTGAACAATATCATATTACTACAAATTTGGACATGCAGTTCAAAACCATATATTCTTTTTAATTTGAAATATGCACCCGAACCTGAAGTTTCAGATATACGTCAATATATATCCAAAGTTCATAAATGTCTATTGAGATTAATATTAATATGACCACGTAGTTCATATCCTGTAAAGAACCTGCAGTTCTGGCATAACATATATAAAATGTTAATTAAACCTGAAGTTCAGAATCAAACGTTGTTTTTTTTTCTTTTATCTTTATCATGGTTTCCACAGTGGAATCAAAAGATTGGAACTTTCAAGTTCATTGGTTCTTAGTTTTTATTATTCTTATATTTTATTAGAACCTGTAGTTCTATGTCACACCATCTAATTGGAACCCGAAGTTCTTCAATTATCATGTTTATGCTATTGCTATCAAATTGAGCTTGAAAGACCTTTGATTCATCATTTAGTTTTGAACATATTTTTCTTAAAATCAATACTTTTATGTGATCTTTTTTAACTTGATGTTCAAGATCAAATTCAGTCTATAGCCAGAAGTTTTATTTATATGACTTGCTAGAATCCGAAGTTCTATACTTTAAAACTTAAGTTCAAGACTTTTTAAATTTTCTGTTTATAATAAAAATTTACAAATATCTTCATATTAGAACATGTAATTCTATAAATTAAATTTATCTTATAACATTCTATTTTATGTTTCATATTTTATCATATTTTATTTTATTTGTAGAAGTCGGTGTTATTATTATTATAAGTTTTTTTTTTATAAAAATAATGCTACTTTATTGTCTTTGTGAATTATTTATTTATATATCTTATTTGGACCAGAAGTTCCATGTTAAGCAATTAGTTGAAACTAGAAGTTTCATTATACATATTTGAAATACAAAATTTAATTTGAGATTATAAAAATCCAAACTATTTGCAATGACATACTTAATTCAAAACCTGAAGTTTTGATTACACATTTTAATCAAACCTGAAGTTTTGGATATTTAATTTGTATTATGATCCAGAAGTTATCTCCAAACCAGAAGTTATGGATTTTGAAATTTTAAGTGTATTATATGAACCAGAAGTTCAATGAATTTTTTTTGGGTTATATGTTTCATGGACATCCCAAAGGTAGATATTCTTATATTTACAAATAAGAAAGAAAATATAGATCTAAGTAGGATTGTAATGTGGAAGAGCATAAATGAATAAATTTATCCTTTCATGTTTCAGGTGCTCCGGCAATAGCAATATGGAAAATATGATGTGTTTCAATTGTTGGTAAATAAAAAGTCTTTATGAATCCACGAATTTCATATGATTGGATCTATTATTTCCTGAAGAAATGTAAGCATTACATAATTCCCTGAAACGAATGTAAGCTCTATATCATTTTCGGAAACAAATGTCACTTACACATTATCCCGAAAGTGAAATATTTTTTAAGTTAAATAGTATAAAGGGAGGGTCTTGTATGACAAAGCCTCCGAGAATTATGATATTTTTAGTGAAACAACACACACAACTATTTGAGTTGAAAATTATTTTTGAGTTTAATTACCACTCATTTTGGTAAATATCATATTAGGTTTTGCAAACCTAACCAAAAGCTATTGACAGGTCAAATTAAATACTTACAATGTTTGATATTACTTTGTTCCAGAAGAAACTTACATAGC